ATTATAAATTATAAATTCCTTTTCTGAGCAGTATTTGTATCGTTGGAAATAATTAAAATTTTAACGAATTTGTTGGTTTCTGAAAAATGTAATTTTTACGTTTTATCTTTTTGGTGGCATCTCATTTAAAATTCGTTTAAATAACGTTTAAACTTAAATTATTAATATCGTAAAAGCAATGATAGTAATGATGTAAAAGGAAATAAATACAGGAAGAAACGTGGAATTTTTCCAAGTGACAATGAAAAGAAATGTACGGATAAATGGACAAATGCCAACGTACCCTCGAAAAGGAAGACGTTCATCAAATTCTTAGAATATTCCAAAGGAATCAGAAATCCGCAAGTGGTAGCTTTGGATCGAGTTGTCGACGTGAAAACGTCGTACAATGCTATATTTGAATCGCACACGACCATTTCAAAGCTTCGCCTATCGCCAGCTTTACCATCCAAATATGCTCCGAAACAGACACGAGATTTCTACATCTTACAACCGAATAAAAATCTTAAAATGAAATTTTTTTTAATTAGAAAAATTTAAATTCTTCCCTCCATTAATGAAATTACATCTTGGAAATTTTTCTCAATGTTTCTTTCAATTCTTTCAGAAATATATATAAATGATTAACATTTCTCTTGTTAACAATAATTCAACTGCACAATCGAACTTAATACGCATATGGTCCGCCATATATCAACACGTCAAATCCACAGCCAATAATCAATGTTCACGTTTAGATTAGGTTAGAACGTTGACTAGTTAACATATGAATGATTACATACGTGCCTGGTTACCCTACGCTCTCGACGATGTCTCGATCAAAGCATGACGAATACGTAATTGAATTGACACAGAAGTGGTGGGATATAAGGATTTCTGGGATATACAGGATGGTAACTTGATCGTTCCAAATGTTTCCAAATTGCGTTTCGTGACGAGACTTGTTAGGGGTGGAACTGTTTCAAGGTAAACAGAAAATCGAGAAGGGGTGTTTCAAGATCACTACTGAAGTATTTCGAGAAGAATTTTAAAAAGTTGATAAAACGAATAAAAATATATAAACAATTTTCGAAGCAATTATCGACTCTGGAAAGTTTCTCTGAAAAGATTATATGTATTTATCTTTAGGATTTGGATTTATCAGAAGTAAAAATTCTTTATTCTTGTTAAATTGTGCCAGCACGCGAACGGTTATTGATCGAGTGGAATTTCGCAATATTTGTCTGGAAAAAGACAGATTTAATCATCCGATGCATTGTTACCTCTCTCAATATTTGGGATTGATTTAAATCAATCACAATCGTTGAAATTCGTCGTTGAATTCTTCTCGATGATGTCATTTACGTAATTGGTGGTTTCGAGATAGCGATATATCCTCCCTGGTGGAAAATGCACAATTATTCATTTGTCATATGGAAACTCGATATAAAATTTACGCTGTAATAAAATTTACAATCAATAAGAATCAACGGATGAAATTGACACGTGGGATGTAAAACCTTGTTAATAAATTCCGTTTCATTTAAATTTTTAATCTATTTTATTCAGTCGATTCGATTTTCGAGCGTATCTTTAAATTTTTCATACGATGATACAATTTTTCGAACGAACTTTTTAGTAAAAATTGTCAAATATTTATCTTGAAAAATCAATAATTTAATTTTTTTCTTTGACGACTTTGAGTGAAAATTTCACAGGTTCAAATCAGAATAATTACAGTTTAATTATATTAAAAAAAAATCGATCGTAAATTCACTGTAATCGGTCACGCTTTAGAGTCAATAAGACTGTAAGTAGAACTACCCTATCCTTGGTCAGGCTTAGTCTTGAAACTCTTTAACGTGGTCTACCACCATCGTCCACTCCTTTCTCTACACCGTTGAAAGCACCCTCCACGAAAAAAAACCTGTCTCGCAATATTCCTGGCATTCATAATTTACGTGTCGCGACCGAAGGGTCGCGCATTAGTTTCCCTTCTTTCTCTCTCTCTCTCTCTCATTCTTGTTGCGACACAGAGAAGAGAGATTCTCTCTCTCTCTCTCTCTACTTATACGAAAGTGAAATATCTTCGTTATCAATTTCCTTCACTTCTATTGTCGACACTTTTGATTATCGTTACGATAATGCTTGATGATACGAAAGGGGAAAGATTTGCAGAAAAAAAAATGTGGTTTAAATTTATTTCGAAAGATTGCCCTCGACGTTTTGCATCCGATTTGATTCTTTGAGAACGAAACGAAAGCAAGCGTGATCGCCTTTGATGTGGGTGTATTTATTTTCACATCCAGAGAGTGGATCCGGCAGTAGAGTAGTGGATGACTTGAAAGAGGCTCTATCAAATTTGGGTTTTTGATCTTTTTCGATTCGGTTTGGGGAAGAGAATTTTGATATCAAGAGTGCAAAACCCGGCCATTTGGTGTATTTATTTTATAGATTGTGATGATTCGAAAGGGAGAGACGAATTTTGATCTCGTTCGTGAAATATCTCTCGAAATTTATCGTTAGAAAATTCTCTGTCACAATTTTTCACAAGATAAAAGAAGGATACTTTCGATAATTTATTCAACATTAAACGGATTTTCTTCAAGGCTTTATAATTCCATATTTCTAATTTATATATCATGTCTAAAGTTTTTAAAGAGGCTAAAGAAGGATTGAATATATCAAGATCTCGTTAAATTTAAATTAGGATTGATTTTATCTTCTTTTTACATTTCAAAATTCCAAAGTTCGAAGAAAGCTTGAGAGGAGGTGAAGAATCAAGTATCGGAAAATAAATCATTCCAAAATCAAGCTACAGTCGATCTACCTTTGATTCGATTTTACACGAACTTACACGAAATAATAAAATGATTCGAAAATTACGATAGGATTAAGGACAAATTTCGTCTCGAGATTGGAATTAAACTGTGGAAGCCTAACGGCATTAATGGCCTCGACAGGGTGCATCTGAAAACAGACATGGCATGCAAATCTGTGACACAAGGGGGAATCGTGTCACGGATCGTTGTCCCTTTGATCCGTACCAAAATTCGGAGCATGGGTTTAACGACGATCGTTGCTGGAGTGGTGTCGTTGCCAGACCCGGTGGAAATTTGCTTTGGCGGAAATTAGGTAACGCAACCGCTATCTGGCCTACTAAATAGCCCTTTAACCCCCCCTCCCCTCTCCTGCGAGAATCCTCCACCGTTTATCACGATGGACCGGAGGATAATCACGATTTCTATAAATTTTCTCCCCAAGTGTTAAATTCTTGATCCACTTTCTCGATTGTAAGTTCTCTACGATGAAAGATGAAATTATTATTATTATTATTATTACGTTTTTTTACCTTTCGTTCGAATAATAATATTCGAGAGGAGATTATTTGTGTGTAGAATAAAAATGTACTCGAATTATGAAGGATAATATATAAATTCGTAGGGGAATTATTTCCATATAAACAAATTACATTTAACAAGGGGGACAAATTATATTATATATACTCTTCGTTAATTACCGTTTTACCTGAAATAATTATAATTATATCATTTCCAGCTCATTCTCCACCAACGTCACTCCATATTTTCCAATAATCTTATTACCAGCCCTGCCAAAAGTGAATTACCGTAACCACGTACGACAGAGGATGATAGAGGGCACATTGTTGCCGCACGCTGTTGGTGTGTTTTCGCGTTTTCCGCTTCACAAAGAGGAAGGAGAGACAAAACGTGGAGAGTGGAAGGGGAGAGAATTAAAAAAAAAAAAAGAAAAAAAGGAAGAACGTTTAGATAACGGAATGTTTGGACAGTGAAGGATTCCGATAACAGAGATCCCAGTGTGTGCCTGCTCTGTCACGCGGTCGGTCGCAATCTGTCATGAGATCTGAAGCTCAAAAGCGAAAATCAACGTGACAAGACGGACCGTCAGGTGATTTCTGACAGTGCACGAGTTTTTTTGGAACTCGGCCAAAAGCCGCGGCTCCGTTCACGCAGGTGTCCCTTTCCGAATATAAACCCTGTAAAATGTGTAAAATTGTCGAGGCTTAAAGATAATTAACGATAACTTTCTTTCGTTTCTTCGTTTTGAAATTCGAAAATACGCGGCCCCACAATCGTGGAGAATTAAAAATAAAAATAATCGGGAAAAATATCAAGATGAATCTTTCCCAAAGAAATAGTTACGAAAGCGGAAGATGATCCTTCCTCAAAACTCTGTAATTTTCTATGTTCAATACGATTTACTTAAAAAAAAAAATAATAATAATAGAAAATGTTTCAAAATGAATAGGATCGGTTTAATATTTGCGTAATTCGATAAATAAATAAGAAGCACGACATCGATGTGATCGAATTCAATAAGAATTACGTAATAGAATAATAAAATGGTTTTTTTTATTGGAATATCGAAGATTAATCGAAGTTATTGCGACGATTCGGAGGAATGCAAAGGAGCCATACGTGGAGAGAGAGAGAGAGAGAGAGAGAGAGACTTAATATCACGTTCGGCGTCCGGTTTTCTATTAAATGGAATTTCATCGAATCGAACCACTAATACATACCCGGATCCATTAGATTCTATTAAACCGGGCTAATTGAGATAGTCACGGTTTAAACCAGCCGCATTTACATACCATTTCTTCTCTACGATGCAAATTGATCGAGATTCGTTGAAACACGTTTCAATTAAACATTAAGAGGGTAAAAATTGTTAAGTACTCGGAGGAATAATTTCTCGAAATATGGAAAATTCTTATAAATTTATTTATAAAACATCTCTCCCTTTTAATTAAATAATCACGAAGCGAAAAATTTTGTAAACTCCCGTAGAAATATTTCTTAAAAGTGTACGAAATCTTCGTGAAAATTTTATAATAAATAAGAAATTCTAATTTTCGTTCCTTTCGTGAATATTACTTGATAAAAATATGTTTCTTCGATGAGAAATTCGCCTCGTGAAAATTTACAATAAACCAAAAAAATCGTGTATTTTACTGACAATTTAAAATTGTTCTGTTTCAGCGATGGCCGATTGGTAGAGGGAGATCAGATATTGGCGATAGATGGACAACCACTAGATTCGAATATCTCTCATGAGCAGGCAATCTCGATCCTCCAGAAGGCACGTGGTCTGGTTGAGTTGGTCGTAGCAAGAAGCACTCAAGGTAATTTGAATTCAACTTTTTATTCCTCATTGGCCTTTTTCGATCTTATCCTCCAATCTAATTTTTTTTATCGCCAAGTCTGCAGTATGCACAGCTTCGTTTTTTTTTTTTTTTTTAACCAAAAAATGGAAATTTCCTTTTCTGAAATTTTGAATAAAATTTTATTTTACAAATTTGAATTGTAAAAAAAAAAAAAATTGTAATATCGATATTTTGAGATGTACCGTTCGTCAAAATTTTCTCATCCAGAATTTTTGCATGAATAATCATTTTCCCCTCAAAAATTTCCATCAAATTCTTCGTTCGTTAAAAAATCGAAACTTAGCATAAAATATTTTGCCCAGATTTTCACAAAGATGTAATATATTTCCAAAAATTGAGATTATTTCAAAAAATATAAAATCCCTTTAGACTTTAGACTATTTTTTCCCTCTAAAAAACTATTAACCCTATCAATTAGTCAAAATGTATAAATGTATATTTCAATTTACCACTAAAAACTATAAAACTATAAAAACTATTCTTAATATATCGAGTCTCGTTTATCTTCTACCTATACTACTGCACATTCTTCGAAACATCTATCATTGCCAATCTATTCGATCTAATACAACTTTCCATCACTTCAGTTTTTACTTTCTTCTTCCATACTATTCACAATTCTTCGAAACATCTGTCAACATCTATCGATTATTCAATTTACAATTAAAAATCTTTATCTGTTATTATCCAATACAACTTTTATCTATTGATTCTATTATTCTACAATCTGTTTAATTATTGCTCTTCTATTCTTTGAAACATCTGTCACTATTCATTTGATTAATTTACAGTTAAATCTCGCTTATCTCTCCCTCCCTTCCACTGTAATCTTTCTTTCAAACATCTGTCAATTCTAAACGTTACACAAACTGTCGTAACTCGACTTGTGTTCGTTCGCTTCATTGTTTTCTTGATTAATGTTAAATTAGTAACGGCAAACGATGGTAATTTAATTAGCCATTAAATTTCGAACATGATACACGGTGTCCAAAGTATCAAGCCAGGCCTCCAGAGTACGTAGAAGTTTCGAATAACTAGGCGATGGAGAAACGACACGTGCACCTGGCAGTAAATTAGATTAACCGTGATGTGTATGAAGGCGAATTGCAAATTTTTATGTGTAAACAACAAAATGGAGTGTGATGGAGGATGTGGCCTCGATGTCATTAAATAATTAATCGCATTTTAATTCGATTAAAAGTTTTAAAACCTTTCCTCTTATAATTCTACTCTTTTCTTCTTCTTCTTTTTTTTATATTAAAGTTATTAAAGTTCAATAAAGTTTTATCAAAATTTATTAAAATTGCAATTAAATAAATTGACGGAATGATAGATTATTTTAATAGTTATTGTATTTCAATTTGGTTAAAATTTATGATTTCTTTCTTTTTTTCAATGAATTAATCGTGACAGATTACGATTGATGGGACTAGTATTAAAATTATTAACGCGTTGCAAAATTATGATTATTGTACACATTAATTAAATAAAATTTAATAGAAAGTTGGATCAAATTAAGGAAACATACAATCATATTTTCTCTCCATTTTTTTTTTTTTCAATAAATTATATCAACCATATAATAAATCGAGAAAGAGAGAGAGAGAGAAGAAAAAAACGAATAGGATTAATCGATTCATCGAATTAAAATATATAAATCGATCGGTCTTGTTTATTTGTATAACGTTTTAATTTAAATGAATCAATAGTTATTAAGCAAAGAATAAAATTGATTAAAATTTCTACCTTTTCAATTCGATTAAAGATTTTTCGTTCTCCCCCTTTTCTTTTGCAATCAATTTTAACCAGTCTAATAAATCGATAGAAAAATAGATAAAATCGAGAGGAAAATTTTGTTCGTCCCTCCCCATTATCGAGGGATAATCGTGGTGTACCAGTAATGGAACAAACAGCTACGAAAGATAGATATAAAATCGAAGAGGAAATACAAACAAGACTGATCGATTAATTCGAAAATATATGGTTCATTTCTGGCTTGTGGTTTCAATTAATTAAGCCATTTTATGCCATTAATTTACTTTGCTCTTCGCTTTTAGTTTATCCGAGGTTCGTTTGAAATTTTTCACTCAACCGTGGATGTACAAAAAAAGAAAAAAAAAAAAACTTGGAAAAGAAAGAAGAAATCAACCAACTTTCCGCGACTTTGTTTCCTTTTTCTTCCTCGTTTCAAAAACTTCTTGTTTGCTCTTCTGTTTTCCTTTTTTTTCTCCCTCTCTTTCTTTGTTTCTTTTCTCATGTTGCAATCAGTCTGGAGGAGAGAATAAATAAAAGAGAGTCAATTTTTGTTATTTGTTAATTCATTCTCGATTGGAACGAATATCGAATAGAGCATGTAAAAGAATGGAACGTGTTATAGAGAAACGAATGTTTGTTCGTTTTTTCTGGTAATAGTTTCCATTTCGTCCGACTCGTTATCGGATTGGATTCCTTAATTCAAGTGTTAATGGTGCTTTTGATTTATTTTGATGGATGTTTTTTCATATGCAAAATAACCTTGCTTTTTTCTTTTTAGTTATTTTAAAAAAAAGATACATCAAATAGAAATTTCTTGTTCGATATTTTTACTACTGTTATTCTACTCATTGAAATATTTGTCGTATTAATTATTCATTATTCATGGAAATACGTCAAAATCGAAAAAATTCTTGTAAAAATAAAAAGATAATTAGAATTAAAAAACGGAAGAAAAGTGATAAGTGAAATCACGAAAGTTTCTTGCTTTTTAAATATAATCCGCCATTTCCTCCCGCGTTGGATAATTCGAGTTTAATTCCATCGCAATTCTTATTCCTTTTAACGAACGTTAATCAGTTATTTAAAGTTTCCAATCCTTAAATTATTGCGAAGAAAATTTACAAAGTTCTTCCAACTCGTCCACCACTCGTTTCCTTCGCGTCCCTGCACTTGGTGGAGGGAAGCTTCGAATCGAAATCACGTTCCCTTTATTATCATCGGGCAATCTTCCGGGTAATTTTTCGCCGGGAAAGTTAGCTTGCGGAAAAAAATTACAAAACTCTTCTGAAACTTTTTTTTCAAACTCTTTTCCACCTTTTCTCGTATCCTCGAGCACCTATTACCTGTTGCCCAAAGATTCTTCCAACCCCTTCCATTAGAAAATCTCATAAAATCACACGTATATCCTTCTTATCACTTTAACTGACACAAATTGCTTTCACCAGAAAATGAGACAAAGATTTAACAATTCGAATTAAACCTTTGTCCATTTTTTCCTTCTCTTAATTTCCAACAACGGACACATCTCCATCTCGAAATTGTTATTTTTCAAAATCCTTAAAATTATAAAAATTTAGAAATATTTTCACAATCCCTCCTCTCCTCCAAAATTTCCTCCTTCACAATTCTTATGCAACGATAATTAAAAACGACGAATTTCGTTAAAGAAAAATGTTACGATTCAGCTTATCGATCGATCTTCTTCTTCTTATTTTCAACGAGAAGACGTTGGGAGTTCTTTGCCGACGGATGAGTTGTCCGGAGCATCGAGTTCGACAGCGGCCGCGGGAGCAGGTGTGTCCATCATCAGCGGCGTTGTCGGCGGGGCAACGAACCAGGCCAGCTCCGACAAGGATCAATCGGTGTCCACGTCGTCCGTCGTCACACCGGCACCGACCCCCAAGTCCAGCCAACCGGCGAGCACCGCCTCGGCGGCAACGCCGACACCGACACCGCCGACCTCGACCCCGGTACCCGGAGGCCTCGTTGTCGAAAGGAGCCCCTCCGCCGTCAGCGACGCCTCCAAGAGTGGCTCTGACATGGTGGTGAGTCTCTCTCATTTCTCTCTCTCCTTTTCGAGTATCGAATGATTCGACAACCGAGTAATCGATCGTTAAAAATAATTTTTGAATTATTTGAAATCGAGACGATACTCATGATACTCGTGTAAATTGATAAAAGGGTAAAGATGTATAGAATTTAGCAAAACAGCATTCATGGCTTTTAAAAATTAAGCGAATCTTTCGTTTAGAAAAAATCATATTTAAAGATTCGTCCAGAAAAATTTGTTCGAACAAACAATTTCAATATTATTACAAGTAGAATAGTTTTACCCCTCCATTTTGCTCCTCGTTTCAACCACCATCATCACTATCCCTGGCTTACTAATAACTTCGCTATTACTCTTATAATATCACTACCATCGTTGCTTCCAACTATTGCTATCGTTTCGATTCCCGTCCACCCTATGGGAATGGCAACCAAGGGTATTATCGTGGTATCAGTTATCACACGCTGGAAGATTTAGTCGATCGTTAAACTCGCTCACGAGCAATTTGCAATCGATTACGTGGAACTGGCCGTACGATGAGGGGAATTGCGCGTACCCGGAATTATTAATGGCGTGTGCAAGTTTCTACATTTTGCAGAGAATGCAGGGAGGATTGGTGGAAACGGTTGCTCGCTATTAAAATCATTCGTCTTGGAAGAAATACTTTCACGCAGCATAATAGGAATTTTGTCTTCTTTTACCTTGGAAGAGGGAGGCTTGTAATGCAAGAATTTAGTTAGTTGGATCGTCTTTGTTCCTTTTGTACAAAATAGGAAGAAAAACGTATTTTGAAATATAGGTAAATTTGGATTATCAGAAAATGTTGAAATTTTTAATAAATATTATCGAGCTCTTGGATATCGTTTAAAAATTGTCAGCCTTAGAATAATATGATAACAAATCAATTTAAGATAAAAAAAAAAAAAAGTAATATAACGAATAATAAAATGAAAATTTTATTGAAATGAAAAATCATATAATGACATGGAAATGTTGTCGCATGAATAAAAGAACAACATTATTATGAAAATTAGATTGGAATGGATCAATATTTATTTCGACATGCGACGAGATTCATTTGTAACGATATCGATGAATAATGTAAATTACATTGAGATTGCGTCTTGCTCGTTACATCGATTCTCGTTTACCGGAAGCGGCAGAACGTTCCAGGTAGGGTGTTCCAGTTAATTGCGTCATTCGAGTTGTTTTTAAGAAAAAAAAAAAAAAATAAAATAATTACTTCTTCCCCTTTAGCTGTTAATTTTATATTATATCAATATTTTCGTTCAAGAAAAAGGAAAATATTGTTTGTTAAAATTTTATTAATTCTTCTCTTTTATTTTCTAAATTTTTTTCTTCTAAATTCTAATTTTTAATAATTTAGATTTAACAATTTAGACGAACAAGAATAAGGGAAATAATTCAGTAAATAATTTTAATTTTCAAATTGTACGTGTACAAAGGCGCCTTTATACATTGTATCGCATGTCTGAATGTACTTATTTGCATTCTGAGAACAGTAGTAGAATGAGGTGTAGCGATCGAAACAGATGCCTTGATTAGCATTGGTGGATACCTGATAATCGTGTAATAGCATTACGATGAGAATGCTTCTCACTATGTTTGTCATGTATCTGCATAATCATGTTGTTCTCCCAAACCGATATTACTGAATAGCTGAAGATTTCCATGAAAACAAGCCACTTTGGAAGTTTCCAATCCCATTCTCAGTGGAACAGATATTTTGGAATTCAATTTGAATATGCAGAAATCTGTCGAAGATATTGTTAGAAGAAATTCCACGTTTATACGTTTAATAAGAATTTATTTATTATTATATTTTTTTTTCGACGTTAAAAAATTAACTAAAATATTCTTAAACAAAGCGTTACCTATTAAAAGCGTATTAAAATTAGAATAACTTTGCACCGCCGTAAGTCCGAGGATAGTAACTTCCGGTCAACGAATGAAATCCCATTAGAAGCGTGAAATCTTCTCCTTTAAAGTGCTTTTTGATTTATCTCGATACGACTTCCGGTTTCCGAGATATCGTCCTGTAAAGAAAAGATAATTTTTAAACCCGATTAAACTCGATTAAAATTAGGAAAACTTTGAGCCGCTATAACTCCGAGGATAATGACTTCCGGTCAACGAATAAAAGGCCATTAGAAGCGCAAAACCTTCTCCTTTGAAACGTTCTTTTACTTATCTCGATACGACTTCCGACTTCCGAGATATCGTCGTGTAAAGGAAAGACTAATTTTTTAATCGTTTACCATCTCCATCCTTGTCATCCTTATTCTCGCCTCTCGCTTTTACCTTGTCTCACTAACATATCCCAAACTGCAGACAGACGCGATCCCTGGAAAAATATAATACACGATTGCTGAAAGAACGAAGAATTTCCAGGAAAATATGCTATTCATAATCTCTGCGTTAAACGCTATGAACACTTTGAGCTCTTATATCTCGGCAACCGATTGAGATATCGAATTGAAACAAAAAAGGATTCAAAGGACATGGTTTTTTATATGGTTATTATGTTTTTTTTTTTTAATTATATTATTTGAATACGTTTTAGCTGATAGATAAAAATCTACAATCTAATTATTTATTAATTGCTTAATGGTTTTTAGTGATCATTCAGTATTATTATTATCGCCATTTTTTATTTATTTATTATTTGCATTTATATTAGCCTAATTATCTATAGATAAAACATCGTCTGTCAGACGATGCTGTAAATTATCCCTTTAACGCGAAGAAAAATGTTCGCCGTGAAAGAAAAGTATCACTAATAAGAATGAACGGCGAATATTTTTCTTAATAGAGATAAATTGAACGGAAGGAGATGGGAAAAAGAAATCCCTATAATTTGCTAAGAGCAAAAGGCACTGCTTCTATCTGACACGAGAAATATGATAATGCACATTCCAAAATGATGGAAGACATTCGTTCAGAAATGGGTGCGTGTTATTTTACCAAGCTTTTTCTTCATGCTCGAAGAGATCTATCTTCCAGGAGAATCGGTCTCTCAAGACCTTCTATTTTCTCCCCTTTTTACCCCCGACCATTTTTTTTTTATCCCGTGACCTTCTTCCAGTTATGGTTTAAATCGATTACAGCCATTAATATTACGATAAACAAAATATTTTTCATTAACTAATTTTTATTACGAACGTTCTTAGCCTCCATTACTTTTTATCTCTGAAACATATATGTATGCATAATAAATTTCCAAATCCAAGCACCAAAAACACTTGATCCCCTTCCCTGAATTATAATTCAATGCATCGTTTCTTCATCATGTTCCAACTTATATAATATAATCCTTTTCGAAAACAATAGCCCATAATTCGCCGTATCGCGTTCCATTAAATTTCCATCGAAAAGCAACGATCCAAGAGGCAAAGTTTCGAGAGCCTACAATTCTCAAATCACTCTCTCTCAATAATCTCCCTTCCATCTCCTCCTTTCCAAACACGTATCCATAACTTTTCTCATCGTCCCTTCATCCTTCCACCGGATTTCTGTCAAAAGGCTATTCTATCTCTCCTTCTTTCTCCTCCTAACCTAATTCAACCACCTTTCTCTTCCTCGTTCGCCTTATCGAAAAAAGACGCGTGACAAAAGGAAGAAAAAAATTGCAATATTTACACGGGACGAGAATGCTCGAGGATGTGAAGAAAGGCGGCCACCAACCCTCCGCCCCTTTCCAACCCCTCCCTCGCAAGGTTAACGATATTCTCGTCTCAATAGCGCGAGAAGATCCGCCGGATGCACGCGATGTGTCCGCATCCGTGTATCCTCGACTTGTCGACCTCTCGAGTGAGGCGTCGCCCCCCTTTCTCCCCTTCTTTCCTTTGTGCCGCCCTTCCGAACGATCGAGGAAAGATACCCGGTGTCGCGATAAAACCAGAGATCGATCCGCCTCCTGCAATTGGCCTCATTTCGAAAGCAACGAAATAATACCTTTTCTTCGCGGAATTTCTCCTCTCCTTTCTTCTTTATTCCTCTCCTGTATTCCTTGTCCTGATCGAGGAACTTAGATTTTAGCGGATCTTGTAGGATTTCTTCAGCTGGCTGGGTATTCGAAGCCTTGTTTGTGAATTGAACATTGTAACATGGTGTTATGGAATTGAATGTTTATCGTGAAGAACTTGGTTTGATATTATTAATTTGTTCATTCGACGAGCAATTTATTTTATTTCGTGACGCTGTTGTGTATTATTAGCGTGGAAATCTGGAAAAGATTTCACATGGATTCTTCGATAAACAGAAACGACAGGTCTAAGTTTCAAACTGGAAGGAGGAGCTTAAATTGGAAGCATAGGATGAAGCCAGTTCTTCAGAGGTTTCTAAAAATTGTTGAAAGAAGAAACCGGAATCCTAATTTAATAGAGTGCAAGTATGAGAAGGAGGGAAGCATTTCATGCATGTGGCTCGACGTTTTTGTCGCGTCGACACGAGGAAGATGGTTGCTAATTACGATAGATTGTCTCGTTACGCGTCTTATTTACACGTCTTGGCTTTGTTTTCAGCGTAATTAGGACCCGACTGAAATTTCAAATATTTAAGCTGAAGAGCAGAGTGATTTAATTAAGCGAAACGGACATTAACGAGGCAGAAGTTAGTTTCTAAAACAATTTTTAACTTTAATAATTCTTCGAAGAAATTCTTATTTTACATATAAATTTTACTTTTTCTTGCGTTTTATTTTTCGCGAATTTATTTGTTGACTCGAAGCAATTACGTGTCTTTAAAAAAATGAATGGCTAATCTTGATTTTATTTTAATCTTATTTAAAATAAATATAACTATATATGTACGAAAAAGTTTTTCTCACGATTCGCATTTGTTAAAAATAACATTGACAATTTATATTTCATATGTATTATCGCTATCAAATTAAATTATATACACGTTTGCATACAAGATATATTGTTTAAAATAAAGTAACACATCAAATAAAAATAAATAAAACTTTACAAT